GGGCCCGGCTCCCCCTCTGCCTTCTGTCCCCGAGGCTGCCCTTGGCCGGCTGCCAGACCTTGCTGAGCCCCATCGTGAGCTGCGGCCCCCCAGGCGTGCTGCTCACGCGCCCCGTCATCCTGGCCATGGGCCACTGCGTGGAGGCCAGCGCTGAGAACTGGAGCATCCGCCTGAAGAAGCAGTCGTGCGAGGGCTCCTGGGAGGTGAGCGGTGGGGCTGGGCGCAGGGCGAGGGGCCCTGCTCTGCCCCAGGCCCTGCCTCTTGTGAAGGGGGAGCAGAGCGGAGCCGGGTCGGAGGCAGGCGGCTGCAGCGCTAACGGGCTTTGGGGGAGAGGACGAGGTTGCTCACCTTGCTGCCATGCAGAGTGGGGAGAACCGTTCTCCTCCTTCCTCCCAATGGCTTCGAGTTGCAGCGAAGCCGGTTTCAATCTTCAGTCGGCTCTGGGAGAACATCTCCCCTGTTTGCCCCATCACCCGGGCTGCGGGCTGCCAGCACTGCAGGGGCTGGGGCAGCATGGGGCAGGGCCCGTCCAGGGCAGCCAGGCCTGGGGAGTGGGGTGAGGAGCAGCAGTGGGGAGCCCAGGAGCTGCCCCAGCCTCCAACCCGATTGCAGGGAGATCATGAGCTCTCCCAGGGGCTGGAGGGGACCAAGCCCAGCAGCCGAAGACAGGACAAAGCTCCAACCCAGCTTGGATGAGGCAGGAGTGGAGGAGCCAGGATCCGTGCATGCAGGGGGCTCCGGACAGGGCAGCTGGGCTGGGGGGCAGAGGGGCCGCGTCCAGCCGGTTGCTGCCCCCAGGCTGCAGAGCGAGCGGAGGGGCCTGCTGCATCCCAGGCTTCTGGGCTTCGCTGGGGGCTGTGAGAGGCTGCGAAGGAATTTTTTCCCCTCCTGTTGCTACGTGTCACGGGCCTCATCCCCTTCCTCAGCAGCTCTGGGTGCTGGGTTGGGGGCTATGACTGGGCTGTGCCATTGCTCCTGCTGGGACTCGCCCCAGAGGGCCCTGGCTAGAGGGTCCTGCGCCTCCAATCCGGCTCAGCCCGATGCTGCCTTGGGGGAAGGAGGGGATTTGCCCCCCAGTCAGACTGGTGCAGACGGGGGATTTGCTCTTGGTGCCTCCAGGCAATTGGCCTTGTTGTCATGCCAAGGGGTTGACTGCAGCTCGAGGGCACCCCCATCCCCAGTCAGGCAGCACCGGCCAGCACGGGGTCCCAGCCCAGAACCCCCATGGAGATGGGGAGCTGCCTGCTCAGGGCCCCCGGGGCAGGCGCCCGCCCAGCTGGTCCTGGCTCTCAGCAGTGGGCAGGGCAGGGCACGGGGCGGCTCTCTCCTGCCCGCGCCCGGTCCCAGCTGGGCTCTCCCGCAGGACGTGCTGCACCTGGGCGAGGAGCCGGCCTCCGAGCTGTACTACTGCCAGCTGGAGCCGCAGGCCTGCTACGTCTTCACGGAGCAGCTGGGCCGCTTCGCCCTGGTCGGCGAGTCGCTCAGCATGGCGGCCTCCAAGCGCCTCAAGCTGGTGCTCTTCGCGCCCGCCTCCTGCAGCTCCCTGGAGTACAACATCCGCGTGTACTGCCTCAGCGACACCCAGGACGTCCTCAAGGTGCCAGGGCAGGAGGGCGGGCTGGCGGCGGGGCGGGGGCCGCCTCCAGCTGCTCTGGCCCTGCCTTGCAGCTGATTCCACCCCCAGCCCCGCAGGGTCGTGGAGGGCTGGAGGCGCTGGGACAGGGGGGTTTTGGAGCAGGGCGCTGAGCCATGCCCTGGTGGGGTGCCCAGCTGACCTGGCACTTGGCCCCGGCAGGAGGTGATCCAGCTGGAGAAACAGATGGGGGGGCAGCTGATTGGGGCCCCCCGTGTCCTGCACTTCAAGGACAGTTACCACAACCTGCGCCTCTCCATCCACGACATGCCCAGCTCCCTGTGGAAGAGCAAGCTCCTGGCCAGCTACCAGGTAGGGGAGCCCTGGCCTGGTCCGGGCCGTGGCACTCGTGGGCA